AAGAAATTTGAAAGAATGGCACGAGAGGCCATGGACATGTGTTTGAGAGTGCTAAAGGAAAGTAACATAGAAGATTTGACAGCTACAGTGTCAGGAACAGCGTATTGACCAATCATATCCCATATTACCTTTCGGGATTGTCGCAGGCACGTTTTTTCCGACAACCTTTCTCGAAATAGCTGTAAATGTCAAGCGCGAAAGTGTTTTTCTCCTCTGATTTCTTTAAACTCTTCTGACACAGAACTCAAACACGTGCTTGCAAGGATCGTATGGCCTCCCTGGACGTAACGGAGTCAATGGACATAACGGGTTACCAGGCCGCGAAGGCCGAGATGGTGTTAAAGGTGAAAACTGCGTGGTAGGTTCCCCTGGACCAGGCCGTGAGAAAGGAGAAATGGGACCAAGTGGAACAGCCACTGATCACAGAAACTGGAAACAGTGCGCGCGGAAGAACGGCGACGGTCGTGACACGTGTTAAAGATCAGAAGACCTGTTTACAAGCGATTATTCAAATCGCGTGCTATGTGCTACCAAAAAGGCGATGTTAACCAAACGTGTCAAACAGTCAGTCGGTTCTGGCCAATAGGAGCTTGCATCAGAATCTGAGTGCACAGCGGGTGCCGTGGAACAGCGATCCCAAAGGTTTGTCTACAGGCTCTTCCCCTTTCTATTCCCCGGCGATTTTTTCACCCTTTCCCCAATGAGAGAGCCTGTTCTTAGGCTAGCAAATTAAACAGCAATGCGTTCGACTGGGCTCATATGAATAAGCCTTACTTACACTCGTACATCAAAATATTTGCTCAAGACTAGTTGAGGTCACTTCCGTGAATATCTTGCTCACGGTGCAAAACATTTAATGACACAAATGTATTGTATTTCTTTAATATCATTGACACTTCTATTAAACAAAGCGAACAAAGTCAAAATATGGCAAATTTATCGTGTGGTTAAGATCACAAACAAGAAAAAATTCGCAGTAATTAATTCACCGACATGCTACTTGGCCTTTGTTTTTCATCGTAGTTCAGTTGACCAAAAAAAACCTTTTTAACTCAGTTTTCTATCCATTTCATTTTTTCGCGATAACTGAAGGCTATCGATTTCATGTTTCATGGAGGCGTTCACGAACTGCGAACATTATTTGTAACTGTAGTTACTCTTCACTGAGGTAAGTCAACAATCGACACTGTGAATAATAGTTCGATTACAGACGAGTGTAGTGAGATCAATCCTGCATGTGTATTCAAATCATGCTTCAGTACGGTGTATTGATAAATTGTATTGACAGGAATGCTTTCCTGCTCACTTTCCCTCTAACAAATGACGTGCTGATATCATCGAGACAGCTAGACTTAATCGACAGATTTCATAGAAGAAACATTGCGTTTGAGTCACAACTTCCACATCGGGAGCCGCCTTCGTTAATTCCTATAGTGCCAAAATCATGAGTGTTAATAAGCGCGTACAGCTCGAAAACTGAACTTAAGAAAATTAAGGAATCGATTCATAGGCTACTTGTACCCCTCAATTCAACAGCTGTTGTCCAGAGAGTGGAGTATGATGATTTGAAACTGCTCTTGAAAGATTCGGCGTCCGTTTAAAATTTATGCACTGATTTGCTCGTTTTTATGTCGTCGATAATTCCAAGCCAGAATTTGAGGTGCTAAATATTATCCAATGAGCAGGGTGTCTAAGATCGAATCTAATTGAAAACCCAAAAGATGTTTTTGTTATCACCAGAATTCTTCTGGTAGAGGAATGGGTCTTGATAAAAATTACCATACTCAGTATTTATGTTACAGGTCAAAATTAAAATAAGGTTAAAATTTTTTTGCCTAGGTTGATTCTCAATTTCTTTTGTCAGGAGACAAAGAAATTGAGAAACAACCTAGGTTAAACAATTTAAACCTGAATTTTATTTTGATCTGTAACATGTATAACAAGCTGCTTATGTATTACGATAGAAAAGAGACATGAACTGATGAGGAAAAATCGCTCAAAATCTATTTATAATTAATACCTAATGGTTCCTTAGAGCTCTTGGAGAATGAGGTGATGTATTTGCTGTTCAATGGTCATTCTGTGCAATAACAACAACAGGCTTACTATCTTCTGTTTGTGTTGCTTCGATTATTAAAATTTCCCCAGAAGCAACATTCCTTTGAATAGATCAAAACGCTGAGAAACAGGACCACGATGTTGAAGATTATTTAGCGTGTGCTTTGCAGTCCGCAATAGTTACATGCTTGGCGCAAGCATCCGTGACTTGAGGCCTCGGAAACTGATCCACGAAGAAAAATTATTGCCCAAATCAACGATAAGAAAAAATAGAGTTCACTTTCGGCCAGTTTTGATTACCTTTCTGAGAAAACATGTAACCATTTTATGACGAAAACTCTATTTGAGAGCTAGATTTCACTTTCTGCGCTCAGGAAAAGTTGAATACTGAAATAACTTAAGGTTGAACGAAGAAAAAATTGTTTTACCTATTGGTAATCCCTCGCTGGTTAGTCATTCAGCCGCACTTTTAGCAACTCTGCCAGTATTGAAACAGTCTAAAGTTGTAAGAATACTCGTCTGGTTTTTTAGTTTGCCTGAACGGAAGCTTCAAAGCCATGAAGCAATAAGGATCTGCAATACATCGCAAATAATAATATACAAGGCCTCTTTTTTAAGTATAATTTTATCAGACAGTGAAATGGCGCTGTTTGAAGTACAATAGCAAATTATACTGTCACGGCTTTTATAAGTAAAGAAAACTCCCTAAAACACCATAACAAAATCAAATGTTAGAAAATTTGGGTTTACCTTAATGAATTGTCTAAGTCCTTGTTCAAATAGACCTTGTCATGGTTTTCGACGCCATCTTGACGAGTAGGCAAACGTGTGAGAAATTACAGTGGTTGTATGAGAACCTAATATCGAATGATTTCCGTAAAACGGCTGTTCTGAAAAAAATATGACTTGTAAACTAAAGCTACAAAACGAAGGATTGTACTTAAAATTTTTTGGGGGGCGTACCTGTGCTTAAATTTCTCTCGAGGCTTGCTCTAGATTTTCCATATATTTGTCTCTAATTTTTCCCAGGACTTTCTTACAGACAAATGTATAGGAAATGTTAAAAAGTGGTTCTAGGTCTTCTAGCGCATCTAACGCCCTCAAATTTTTTCGGTAGATTCCTTAGGAGTGAAGCTTTAGCTTACAATTCATATTTTTTTTAGAACCGCCATTCTAAGGAAATTATTCGACACTAGGTTCTCATACAACCACTGTAATTTCTCACGCGTTTGCCTACTCGTCAAGATGGCGTGAAAAGGTCTATTTAAACGTTTATTAACAACTTTATTCTGGTGACAAATCGACAAAACCTGCTCAAGAGCTTGAATTTCGTGGAATACGAACATTTATTTTAAGTTCACTAATTTAATTTTGCTCGCCTGGCTTTAATCGAGATTTATCGAGCAAAGATTTTTTCATACTTGAAACGTTCAATAATCGTGATCGTACACACTTATCCTCCTGCTCGCTGTTATTCCACTACGTTGTTCAAGGTCAGTAAACGTGGCAGTCGGTCAGCACATGCCATTGTGTTCAAACAACAAGAAAAATTTCGTTAAAAGTAATTCAAAAAGTAAACTTTTATCCTTCGTCTCCAACTTCACACAAGACAGAACACCACAAGACTTGTGCAGTTGGAGTTCAACGCACGCTCTCCTCAGTTCGTAACTTGTTTTGCGTTTTTCTTGTACCCGGTAAGATGAAAGAAGGAAATCTGTTTGTTTGGTGTTTACTTTTTCTGTCGATGTCGTCCACCGCTTTCGCTAAGGTAAGATAAATCAGCGCACAGAATTGACTTTTCTTAAACTATGCAAAAAAGAGCGAAGAGCGAATCTGATTGAAACACGGTTTAAGTTGTCGAGTCTGTTAGTCGTAAAGGCTTACAATACGTAGCAGCGAGATTTTTCCATGCATCAGCGTAAGTGGAAACGAAAATTTCAGATTTGAAATACCTTTTAGATTAGGACTACGTGTTGACCTTTAATTTTCTTAAATTCATATTTTTAAAAGAGAGTTTGAAAACACAGCTTCCAAATTATAATTAGCACTCCTGTCTTCCGCTCAAAGAACGACATTGGGTCAATCAAGTCTGTCCACGAAAGGATTTTTTACAAAACGCACATCTATTCTGCTAATGTCACTTCTCCAAGAGAGAACAAGGGAGAGTGATGACTCCAAGAATCTATAAAAGGCAGATGATTGGCTGAGCTTCTTCTATACTTAATGTCAATCATTTATTACTGACCTGAACCCAAATTTTGCTAAAAAAAAAAAAGGTTAAAGTGAATATACTATTATTTTTGAACATTTATGTAACACAGAACTCAAACACGTGCTTGCAGGGATCCCCTGGCCTCCCCGGACGTAACGGAGTAAATGGATACAACGGGTCACCAGGCCGCGACGGCCGAGATGGTGTTAAAGGTGAAAAGGGTGTGGCAGGCGCCCCTGGATCACGTGGTGCGAAGGGAGAAATGGGAGCAAGTGGAACAGATACTGATCACCGGAACTGGAAACAGTGCGCGTGGAAGAACAACGACAACCGTGACATTGGACTGATCAAGGCTTGTTAATTTATCTGTGATCAAAGCTATAGTTTAGTTAGCATAACAAATACTCGTCATATGAAAATATCATCCCAGCCACTGTGCTTCCCCTGCCTTTTTAGACTTCTTAATTATTGTTGAACGTTGTCCATGCAGTGTTATATCCGCACAGGATAAAATAAAGTTATTTAAACGAAATGTAGGGTGTATGATGGGCTCCTGATAATGACAATTTCTTCCCTGAAAATAATTGTTCAGAACTAATTTGTTGTTGCAGGATTGTCAGTTCGCTAAAACCAAGGATGATACTGCCATCCGTGTTGTTTACCAGGGAAACTTCTATTTGGGAGGGTGTGGCGGCTGCTGCAAGAGATGGTTCATCACTTTCAATGGAGCCGAGTGCAGTGGTCCCCTGCCTATTGACGCAGTGCTGTGGATCCGAAATAAAGACGAAGACAACCACAGACCCGGGTTCATTGAGGGCTACTGTAACAACATACACAAGGGCAAAATCCGAGTTGGAATCAACATTGGAAATTGTGCAGGATATGGAAACTCCAATGGTTACACAGGCTGGAATTCAGTTTCCCGTTTGATCATTGAAGAAGTTCCTCGGTCCCAGTAACAAGTGAAAAGCGTCACGTGATTATTAATGACGTAATTAAGGGCTCTAATAACATTTTCATGTAAAGCAGTTCAGCTTTGAAACCACAATAAACGCTGCACGTGACTACTGATGTATGAACATGTCATTTTTTACATGCACTTATCCAGTTTAAGGTTATTAGATATGCGCCCTTTCTGACGTTTATTAAATTGGTGGCCACCCCCAAGACATTAACTGAAGGTTTTTTCTAAGTGCCCATCCTTTATAAAATAGGTGCCCACCCTCAAGGTTTTCCAGTAAGCGCCCACCCTTTAGGATATTAAATATATGCCATTGGTAAAGGATATGTAATAGGCCGTAGCCAAATTCCAAAAATTCTCACTTTCAAAATGAGGCTTACTGCAAAAACTTTCGTGTGAAAATAAGTTTTATTTGCATGACAATTAAAAACCATTTTCATATAGATATGCACTTAGCCTGGCTTTGAAGCAGAGACTTGGGAAACTCGGAAATGGTCTATTCACCCGTTTTCACATAGACTATAATGCACCTTGTATGACCCCAAAATTTTGCACAACAATTGTCTTCGATTTTTGGAGGGAGACTGTAATACCCATTACCCACCCTTTCCTCCTTGACTCTCTAGGAACGTAACGTTTTCTTTCACTTTATTACCAGCCCTAGTATACATCTGTCATGGGATTGTGGGCAAACTTGTGAGGTAACCCGCCTGTCCATATAACCTCTCATTTTAATTTGATCACGTTTACATGATAGCTGGGGTGACCTGCCACCTCCATGTAAACAGGCCGTTAGGGAGGGGCCTCGCGTGAGACCTTTGAGACCCATTCCAGTACATCCCATCGCCTAATAACATGAAGAGATTAAACTAATTTGCTCTAGTACAAGACAATGGTGGTGCGGTGAAAACTTGGAAATAAACACCAACGCGGTCGACTGGGCTCATACAAAAACCACTTAATTACATTTGTTGTACATCAACATAGGGACTTTAAGCGACAACTACGTAAGGGTCTAGTACGGTAACCGGAAGTATTTTTTCCCGCCACGCCTCAATGCCTCAAGTTCAAAGTACTACCTGCCGATATCGCCAGTTTTGCAGCGAAAATTTTAATTTGAATAACTGACCGGCATGACGCGAAAGACTTATGCATCTTCTAGTACCGCCCGGCATCACAGATGATGCAATTCATAAATCAAGGTAAAATGGTGCTTAGGACGCCAGTGTATATTTGAAACAGAATCGCAAGATATACGCATTTTATCCTTTTTTGGTCATCCTAGGAAATTTCTGAATCGACGGTTCATTTTTCGATCATGAGCCTCAAATTTCGGTGTCCAGCACGACACCCATTAAGTGAAAAATACAGCCAAATATATACGCAAAATACAGTTGACGGGAAAGAGGATTCCATATCGGATATCATCGCACCATGTGGTGTGCATAAGACTGATAAAACACCGCAAGGAAGCCCTGAATTTGCCCATGAATCGCCCTTTTTTATGAATGTTTTTTTATATATACATTTCCTTGCCGTGGGGGCTCACTGCACGGCTTCAACCGTTCGCAAACATTTGACAAAGTAACCGAGTTGGAATAATTGCGATAAAGAATAAAAAAAACGCGAATACACTTTTAAGAGACGTTTTCACCGCTATAGGCGTCGTAGTATCTGTTGACGAATGGTGAAAAAAAAAAGCTTCCGGTCACCGCTAGAGCCGTCCGTAGTCTTTCCTTAAAGTCCCTAATATTTGCTAATGATCGGACCTGTTGAGGTCACCTAGTGAAGTTTCTAAGTATATCACATGGAGCAAAACTTTTGATTACACAGAATTGTACTTTTAAAATATCATTGACACTTGCCTTCTACTAAACAAAGTGAAACAAAAAACAACAACAAAAGATGGCATACTTATCCTCTGCGGTCATAATAATCAAAACAAGAAAAAATTCTCAGTAATTAATTCACCGAGTAAAATACTCAGTACTTGGCATTTGCTTTTCACGACCGAATACAAACCTTTCATACTGTTCATCCCATTCATTCGGCTTTTTCGATAAAGGATGCCATCAGTTTCGCATGTTTCATGGAGGCGTTCAGGGACTGCCGACATATATTTCTGTTACTCATCAGTGATTGGGTAAGCACAAATAAAATATAAATATTGCCAATTCTTTTTATAGAAATCATGCTTCAGTACGTTTTATTGATAAATTGCCGCATTGACTGAAATGTTTTTCTCTCATACTCTCTCGTCAACGATCATGCTAAACATGATCAAGACAGACTTTTAATCCGGTGACAGATTTTACACATGGGCAGCCAACGACTATTTTCTGTAAAATATCTGTTCGGAGAAGCAATTATTAGCTATAATTTTCTATTGCTTGAGGACGGCTAAAAATGTCTAGATGACCGTTCCATTCATGTACAATTTTCGAAACTTATCTTATAAATTCCCTACGATTTTCTGAAGCTTCATTTTTCACATTTCACTTTGTTTTTTCGTAGAAAAGGAAACCTAAAATTTTCGGATTTAAAACTGTGATTGAGATAGGAATCAGAAAAATTCTCAATTTCGTAAAGCGATAAATAGCATCGAAAAATTTATACTGAAAACCTTGAAATTTCGAAAAGTCCCCTAGGATGACCGAACAGATACAAATTTTATAGCGTCGCTTGTACTGTATTTCTAGACATCTAAAACTACTCTGGATGGCCTAAAAAGTGTTTTCAACAAATTTAGGAGGAAATCGTCGTTGAGTGCCCCTGTTTACAGAACAAACATCGCGTTTGAGTTACAACTTTTCAGTACGTTTTATTGATAAATTGCCCTCATTTTTTGACATAATGCCGAGATAAACTTTACAAGATCCATCAGCTACTAGTACCCCTCAATTCAAGACAACAGCTGCAGTGTATGCTGATTTCAAACTCGCCGGCTACTCTTAAACGATTCAGCATTCCGTTTAAAATTTATGCATCTCGATTTGTTCTTCTTTTAATATGTCGTCGATAATTCCAAGACAGCATTTCTGGATGTGCTCAACAGATATTATCAAGAGAATCCCATTATGGCTCTTGATATTATTGAAAGGGCAAAGTCTCTAGGGTCGAATCCACAGAATCTACTTGAAAACCCAAAAGGTGTGGTTGTTATCAACAGAATTCTTCTAGTAGAGGCAAAGGTTTAGATAAAAATTACCTTACTTAGTATACATAACAAGCTACTTATATATTAGGCCATAGAAAAGAGACCGTGAACTGTTCAATGGTCATTCTGTGCATTAACGACAACAGGCCTACTGTATTGCGTTTGGGTTGCTTCGATTAAAAACAATTTCCACAGAAGCAACATTCTTTTGAACAGATCAAAAAGCTGAGAATCAGAACCACGATTTATTTTGCGTGTGCTTTGCAGTCCGCAATTTCATGCTTGGGAAGCAGCCGTAGACTATAGACCTCGAAAGTTGATCCACGTAGAGAGAATATTGGCTAAATTAACGGTAAGAAAAAATAGAGCTCACCTTCGGCCAGTTTTGATTACCTTCTGTGATACTTCATATGGAGAGATTCCGTTAGCGAGTATTTCATGACAAAAACTCTATTTGGGAGCTAGATTTCATTTTCTGCGCTCAGGAAAGGTTAAACTTTACAATACTGAAATTGCTAGGAAAATAAGGTTGAACGAAGAAAAAGATTATATGTCTACTGGTAATCCCTCGCTGGTCACTCATTCAGCCGGACTTTTAGCAACTCTGCTAGTATTAAAACAGTCTAAGGTTGTAAGAATACTCGTCTGGTTTACAATTTGCCTGAAGGAAAGCTTCAAAGCCTCAAAGCAATAAGGATCGACACATCGCTAATAATAACATATAGGACCTATTTTAAGTTTTTTTTATCAGACAGTGAAATGGTGCTGTTTAAAGTACAATGGCAAATTATACTGTTCACGGGTTTTATAAGTAAAAAAAAAAAAACTCCCTAAAACACCACAATAACATCAAATGTTAGGAAAATTTGGGGTTACCTTAGTGAACTGTCTATAACTTCCCATTAAAATTCTGGTGAAAAAAAAAAAGAGACAAAACCAGCTCAAGACCTTGAATTTCGTGAAAAACGAACATTTATTTTAAGGTGACTCGACCCAGTTTTTTTGGGAGGGTACCATCCTACTTTGAAGCTCTCTGGTATCCCCACCCTTACTTTTATCGTAAGTCTAACACATAGAATGGATAACATATAGATCAATCTACAATATAACATAAAATTTTTGGCGATCGGAGTAAATGTCACGTGGTTATAATGCCACGCCCCTTTGAGGTCTGAGTCGAAAATCTGCTGTTGCCGGCATTTTTTCGTGAAAATCTCTCGGCTACACATAGTGCGCATTAGTGCCTTGCGCTGAACAGAGTTTCACCAAAATCGCAAAGACCCAATTCGAGAAATTCAGCGGTTTCCAAATTTAGGTCATAATTTATGCGAAAATGATAAGCAAACTTTACACGGATTATATCTAATAAACTATGAGATTCATCTCTTTATTTTGGGCATCGTTATAACAGATGGGTCCTTGCAAGTCAGCAAAACGCTTTAGGGCCTTGTAAATGCGCGCGATTTCGAGCAAAGCAAACATATAGAAATTATAGTTTTCGCTATTTGTTGACGTTTGTCAGCGTTTAAGAGTCCTTCTCACGAAAAAAGCATTTTCTTAAAAATTCGTAGTTTTTTTTCCTTCAAATTTTTTCAGGGCCACAATTGATTAACTAACTACCCGGACTCTGAATTTCATGGTCATTGAAAAACTGTGACATTATCTTCTATAAGCCCAAACTTGAGTAAACATTGAAGATTTTTAGCGTTTTGGCTGAGTTTGTGCTTTGGGAGTTGTCTATTGTTTCTAGTCTGTCATTATACAGCATTCTTGTTCAGCACGCGTGCAATGACCACGCTTGGCTGACTTCCGAATGCTCACCGAGATATTCCCGTCACGAGTTGGTTTAATTATTGGCTTGCATTAAACCTATGAAAAAATGATATTTTTTTAATAGTAAGTAGATTTAGTGTGTAGCACTTCTTGATTTTTTTGCAAAGGCACAAGAAGCACGAGAATTGATTAAAAATTGTGACTTAAACCTCTATGTATCACGCGATGGCCTGTCTCACTGTACCAAAATTATTATATCTCGGTGAGCATTCGGAAGTCAGCCAAGCGCGGTCATTGCACGCGTGCTGAACAAGAATGCTGTATAATGACAGACTAGAAACAATAGACAACTCCCAAAGCACAAACTCAGCCAAAACGCTAAAAATCTTCAATGTTTACTCAAGTTTGGGCTTATAGAAGATAATGTCACAGTTTTTCAATGACCATGAAATTCAGAGTCCGGGTAGTTAGTTAATCAATTGTGGCCCTGAAAAAATTTGAAGGAAAAAAAACTACGAATTTTTAAGAAAATGCTTTTTTCGTGAGAAGGACTCTTAAACGCTGACAAACGTCAACAAATAGCGAAAACTATAATTTCTATATGTTTGCTTTGCTCGAAATCGCGCGCATTTACAAGGCCCTAAAGCGTTTTGCTGACTTGCAAGGACCCATCTGTTATAACGATGCCCAAAATAAAGAGATGAATCTCATAGTTTATTAGATATAATCCGTGTAAAGTTTGCTTATCATTTTCGCATAAATTATGACCTAAATTTGGAAACCGCTGAATTTCTCGAATTGGGTCTTTGCGATTTTGGTGAAACTCTGTTCAGCGCAAGGCACTAATGCGCACTATGTGTAGCCGAGAGATTTTCACGAAAAAATGCCGGCAACAGCAGATTTTCGACTCAGACCTCAAAGGGGCGTGGCATTATAACCACGTGACATTTACTCCGATCGCCAAAAATTTTATGTTATATAAATTCTATGTGTTAGACTTACGATAAAAGTAAAGGTGGGGATACCAGAGAGCTTCAAAGTAGGATGGTACCCCCTAAAAAAAACTGGGTCGAGTCACCTTAAGTGCATTAATTTGCTCGCCTGGCTTTAATCGAGATTTTTCAAGCAAGGATTTTTTTATATTTGAAACGTTCAATAATCGTGGTCGCACATACTTATCTTCCTGTTCGCTGTTATTCCACTAGGTTGTTCAAGATCAGTAAATGTGGCAGTCGGTCAGCACATGCCACTGTGCTCACACAACAAGAAAAATTTCGTTACAATTAATTCAAAAAGTGATCTTTTATGCCTCGTCTCCAACTTCACACAAAACAGAACACCACAAGACTTGTGCAGTTGGAGTTCAACGCACGCTTTCCTCAGTTCGTAACTTGTTTTGCGTTTTTCTTGTACCCTCAAGATGAAAGAAGGAAATCTATTTGTTTGGTGTCTACTTTTTCTGTCCGCGGTATCGTCCACCGCTTTCGCTAAGGTAAGATAAATCAGCGCACAGAATTGACTTTTCTTAAACTAGGCAAAAAAGAGCGAAGAACGAATCTGATTGAAAGACGGTTTAATTTGTTGAGTCTGTTAGTCATAAAGGCTTATAAAACGTAGCGGCGAGATTTTTCCATGCATCAGCGTAAGTGGAAATGACAATTTCATATTTGAAATACTTTTGAGATTAGGGCTACGCGTCGAGCTTTTATTTTCTTAAATGTATATTTTTAAAAGAGAGTTTAAAAAAAAGCGTGCAAATTATAATTGGCTCTCCTGTCTTTGCGCAAGTCTGTCCACGAAAGGATTTATTACAAAACGCACAACTCTTGTGCTAATGTCACTTCTCCAAGAGAGAACAAGGGAGAGTGATGACTCTAAGAATCTATAAAAGGCAGATGATTGGCTGAGCTTCTTCTATACTTAATGTCAATCATTTATTACTGACCTGAACACAAATTTTGCTCAAAATGAGTGCAAGATACAAGTGAATATACTATTATTTTTGAACATTTACGTAACACAGAACTCAAACACGTGCTTGCAAGGATCCCCTGGCCTCCCCGGACGTAACGGAGTCAATGGACATAACGGGTTACCAGGCCGCGACGGCCGAGATGGTGCTAAAGGTGAAAAGGGCGTGGCAGGTACACCAGGATCACGTGGTGAAAAGGGAGAAATGGGAGCAAGCGGAACAGACACTGATCACCGGAACAGGAAACAGTGCGCATGGAAGAGTGGAAACAGTCGTGATATTGGACTGATCAAGGCTTGTTAATTTATTTGTGATCAAAGCTATAATAGTTCAGTTAGCATAACAAATACTCGTCATATAAAAATATCATTCCAACCACTGCAGTAGTTATAGAAATGGTTTTTGCGGGCCACATTTCAGATCAAAAAAAATTGCAACAAATTGGGTACTTTTACCCACTTTCAAATAACCCAAATATCAATAAAATTCCTGTATATGCAAGCCAATACAGAAAAGAATATTTATTTATTAGAGGGATTCTGATTAATTATAAGTTAAGTATTTACGTTTTATAATATAAGCTTAATATTATAAGACGTCATGTCTAACCAAGCAAATGGTTTTAAAGGTTCTCAACCTTTTATAACAGATAAAAAATTTCAGAATTTGTCTTTGGATGAAATAAGACATATAATAAAAGAAGAAAGAGAAGAACTTAAGAAAGATTATAAGGAATTAGGAGAAAGAAGAAAATTAATTAAACAGTATAATAAATTAAAAGAAGCTAGAGAAAAAGTAAGAAAAGGAATTGATATAAAAAAAGAAAGGAAGAAAAAAGTAAAAAAAGAAAGTAAAAAGAAAAAGATAAAATCATTTGAAGAGTATTTTGAGGAATGTATAAAAACTAAAGAGATACCGCCAGATACTCCTTCTTATTTACGTGAAGCTCTTGAGAGAGCTATTAAGGAATACGATCAAGGACTTATTAAAGAAAAATCATCTTTGGAAAACTTTGCTAACAAATATGTTATTAAAGGAGAACCTGGATTAATTCCACTTGATTTTTTAAATAAAATTTATAGTACTTTAGAAGAATTTTAACATATCATAGAAACATAAAATTTAATATGCTTTTGGTTTGTTTAATGGAACAGCAAATACTTAGTAAAGATAAAGGAGTTGTAGGATTGAATCAAAGTAAGGCTTACTTCACATCAGGAATTCGAAAAAATTTAAAGTCAACAGAAGTAAATGAATTAATTAATCTTTGTTATAAAAATATTCTTAACGATATAGATGCTTATCAAGAAAATGGAAGTGGATGGTATTTTCTTGAAGTAGTTCAACTTGAAATTCATACTGTTGAGTTTAACCCATCTAAGGGATCATCTTACATTACTCTTCCAGATTGGATATTAAACAAAAAAGCAATTGTTAATATTCAAAACAAAGATGAGAAATGCTTTCTTTGGTGTATACTTAGATATCTTCATCCAAAAGAATTTCATGAAGAAAGACTAAAAGATTTAGAGAAGTATGAAAATTCTCTTAATACTAAAGGAATTACTTTCCCTATGAAATTAAAAGACATTACAAAATTTGAAAAACTTAATCCAGAACTTCCAGGAATAAATGTTTTTTCAGCTGATAATTATATTTTTTATCCTTTGAGAATGGCAGAGAGAGATTGTTTAAATACTATTGATTTATTTTTGTACGAAGAAGATGGAGTTTCACATTACACACTAATCAAAAATTTTCATCGTTTGATTAAGTCTCAAAAAACTAAGAGTAAGAATGGTTCAATATTTATTTGTAAAAGATGTTTTACACATTACACTAAAGAAGAATTATTACAAAAACATATCTTATACTGTTCAAATAATGAAACAGTTTCTGTAAAAATGCCAGAAGAAGGTACAATGCTATATTTCAAAAATTATGAAAAACAACTTCCAATTCCTTTTGTAGTTTATGCAGATTTTGAATGCTTTACTAAACCAATAAATACTTGTATTCCTAATCCAAAAGAATCTTATAGTTACAACTATTAAAAGCATGAACCATCAGGATTTTGTTTTTACATTAAAGGGATAGACCCTAATATATCATTTAAACCAATTATTTACACAAAGACTAATGATAGTGATAATGTAGCTGAGATATTTGTTAACAAACTTGCAGAAGTAACAAATAGTATATATAATGATTTTTATTGCCGTCCAAAACCACTTAGATTAAATAAAGAGGAACAAAAATCATTTGATAAAGCGGAAATTTGTCATATTTGTAGTAAAGAATTAAAAAAAGATAAAGTAAGAGATCATTGTCATTTTACTGGAAAGTATCGTGGAGCAGCTCATAGCAAGTGTAATCTTATGTGTAAAAAACCAAGAATACTACCAGTTATATTTCACAATCTTCAAAGTTATGATGCTCATTTGTTTATAAAACAACTTGCTTGTTTACCAGGTGAGTTAAATTGTATTCCATCTACGGAAGAAAAATATATTTCCTTTTCAAAAAAGATTAAGGTTGGTGAGTATAAAGATAAATATACTGGAATGATTTTACCAATAAATTTTGAAATAAGATTTATAGATTCATTCAAGTTTCTTCAAACATCACTTGCCAATCTTGTTTCAAATTTACAACCAGATGATTTCCATAATACAAAAAAAAATATTTAAAAAGGATGTAAAATTATTAACTCGTAAGGGAGTTTATCCGTATGACTATGTTTCATCACTCGAAAAATTATCTGAAACACAACTTCCACCAAAAGAGGAATTTTATTCAAAACTGAATGATGAAGATATAAGTGATGATGATTATCAACACGCTATTAATGTTTGGAATAATTTTAAATGTAAAACAATTAGAGATTACCACAATCTTTACCTAAAGACTGATGTTCTACTTTTAGCAGATGTATTTGAAAACTTTAGAAAAACTTGCCTCAAACATTACAACCTAGATCCAGCTCATTATTACACATCTCCTGGACTAGCTTGGGATGCATGTCTCAAAGAGACAGGTCACAAATTACAGTTATTACATGATTATGATATCTTGACAATATCTTGATGCAAATAATCTATACGGTTGGGCAATGTCACAACAACTTCCTACACATGGATTCAGTTGGATGAGAAATATTACAAAAGAAAAAGTAATGGATATTTTAGATAAAGCAAATCATAGTATGTCAAATCGTGGGAGAAAAGGATATATATTTGAAGTAGATTTGGAATATCCTAAAAAGCTATGGAAATCACATAATGGCTATCCTCTAGTACCTGAAAAGATGATTGTTAATGGTGTTGAAAAACTTATATGTCATTTTAAACCCCGAAAAAACTATGTTGTACATTATCGTAATCTTAGACAATATCTTGAGATGGGAATGAGGCTTACTGCTGTTCACAGAGGAATATCATTTTATCAAAGTTCTTGGATGGAACCTTACATAAGAAAAAACACAGAACTTCGAAAAACAGCAGCTAACAGTTTTGAGAAAGACTTTTTCAAATTGATGAATAATTCAGAATTTGGAAAAACAATAGAAAACATAAGGAAAAGACAGAATATAATTCTTATTGATGATCGTAAAAAAGCTGTAAAATTAACAAGTAGACCAAACTTTGATAGAGCAACAATATTTGATCGTAATCTTATTGCAGTTCATATGAAGCGTACAGAAGTGTATTTTAACAAACCAGTATATGTTGGTCAAGCAATTCTAGATTTATCAAAAACATTAATGTTTGATTTTCATTACAATTATATCAAAAAGAAATACAAAAACAAAGCTGAGTTAATGTTTACAGATACTGACTCACTTTTATACCAAATTCATACAGATGATTTTTATCGCGATATATCCTGTGATATATTAGAGAAGTTTGACACATCTGATTATCCTCCAGATCATGAATCTGGAATACCAACAGGAGTTAACAAAAAAGTAATAGGGATGTTTAAAGATGAAATAGCTGGTAGACAGATTACAAAATTTGTTGGCCTTCGTCCAAAACTTTATACTTTCAAGATAGAGGATGGAAGTTTAACCAAGAAGTGTAAAAGTGTAAAGAAGAATGTTGTAAAAAAGGGAATAGAATTTGAAAATTATGTTGAGTGTTTATTTACTGGTGAAAAGCAAATGAGAACTATGAAAATTATAAGAAGTGAAAATCATGACATTTACTCAAAGGAAGTAAATAAAATAGCTTTGAGTAATGAAGATGATAAAAGAAAGGTCTTAGAGGATAAAGTAGAAACTCTTGCTTTAAGATAATAAGATATAAATAATAAATGACATATACAGAAGATCAAATAAAAAAATATCTAGAAATATTACATAATTATAATAAAAAACCAGTGGATGTGAGTAGAAAATTTAGATGTAGAAATTGTCAAAGTGATAGTTTCTTAGTTGAATCTGGTTATAACATTTGCGATTCCTGTGGGATAACTAATGGTCATGTTCTTGGTTATTTTGACTTGAAAGAATACGATCGATTTCATTTTCGAAAGAAGAGTATTTATCAGAGAAAGTATCACTATGAAAAAAAGGTTGATCAAGTTTCAAGAAGACTACATCTAACTGAGGATGAAAAGTATAAATTATATAGTAAACTAATGGCAATAGACAATCATGTCATGGAAATACTAAACAAAAAATACTCTAGAAAGAGAATGATAAGTATTTTTTATTTAATCAAAAAACTTTTGGAAGAGATGGGTTGTGAAAAGTACAAACTAGTTTATCTTAAGATTTCTCCTCAAACTATGGAGAATTATGAAAAGTGGTGGGATAGTTTAAACAATTTAGAATATGGTTGATTGATTTATTAATTTTTATATTTTAAAAAAAATATAAAATTTAATCTTCTAAATAAGTATATCCACTTTCAAATACTCTAAAAATATCTAAAAATGCCTTTGTTTTAAAATATAGATCTTCATCTATTTCCATATCTAATTTTAATTTATTAAGAGTTTGATATATTCCTTCTGTATCGATACCCTCATCTTCCATAGCACTTTTTACAAGTTTTGAATCATATTCAAATTTAATATTTTTTTCAAGATTTGAACTATTTTCATCAATTTTCAATAAATCATCTATGAATGGTTTAATTCATACTTCTCTTTTTTCTTTTATTATTTTATACTGTCTGTGTAACGTATTAATATGATTTAAAGCAAGATTTTCTAGGAATTCTTTTTGTACTTCTTTCATTTCTTTAAATGCTGCGAGTATATACTCATCATATAAAATTTCAAACATTTCATTTAGTAATTCTCTAGCAAGACGTTTTACATCTTTTTGTCTAATAATAACAGCTGCCATTTTATTTATAGATTATTTTAATCCTTTATGAAAAATCCAGTAAATTATTCCTGTTAGATAACCTAATACTTCACTATTTATTGGAGATTCAAATGTGTATACGCATCCTCTTCCGATTTTGTAATGTTTGTGAAAAGATTTAAAAGCTCTGTAAAACATTAGATGATTATTTAGAATAGGATTATTAGATTTAATAGATCTATCTTCTATTCTATAAATTATTTTTTCTATATTTATATTTTCTTTAAAATAGACTTCGTATAAATATCTATAAATGAGTGATGTTTTTATAAGATTTTCAGGATAGGGAAGATGATTATGTAAAGGATAGTAATAGTTAACATAATTAACAATTGTGTTTAGCATTTTATATTATTACTTATAATAAAAATTTTTATTTAATTTAAATAGAAAAATTAATTAAAGGTATAGATAATATAAAATAATAGTAATGGGAACTAAACTTCTTTCTCTCAATGATTTTTTATCTAATTTTTCTACAGAAGAAAGAGAAGATATTATAAAAATATATAATCTCTATACAATAAAATATGAAAAGAATAAAGAAAAAGATAATGAATTTAGAGTAGGAAAAGTAAAATATTTTAATCAATACAATATAAATTTAAATACTTTACTTTTTTTATTTATCTATGGTAAAACAGGAAAAACAAATGAAGACGTGGTTTCTCGATTAAAAAGAGAACCAGAAGTAGAAATGATTAAACTTATGTTAAAATTATTATAATTATATTTGATTAAATATATGATAATGTTAAAATTATACATGAAATTAGTGAACTACCAGATAAATCAAGATTGAATTATAAATTTAAAATGTATAACTTTTTTTCATATACAAATGTTAATGGAGCGTTATAAAAAAATATGTATATTAGATTAAATACGCATTTGAGTATTTAATCTATTAGTAAAAAGTCTAAGATTCTTTTAAAGATTTTTTTTGATTTTTTCTTGTATCAGATATGCTATCCAAACAATATTTAATAGATCTTAGATTACTAATATCATATTTTATTTTTTTACATTTAATAAACAAATCTTTATCAAGAGAATCTTTTCTAAAACTTAAACAAAAATTACTATAAATTTCAGCTTTTTCTATTAAAAATTTATAATCATTTTCAAGTAAAGATTCAACTTCTTTACAAATTTCTCTAGCTTCTACAGCCAAAGTTGATTCGTAAGAACTAATTAATTGTTCTTCAAATTTTTCAAATTGATCCATTTTATTACTAGTAATTTAATCTTTAAACCTTTATATTAAATTTTTCATTATACCTACTAGCAAATCTATCAGCTATAGGAGACTGATCAATTATCATTTCATCTATTAGTTTCATACGATCAACAAAATCTTCTTTATTCCACTCATCACCTCGAAGAGCTGCACGAAGTTCAACTAGTACTTTTTCATAAGTAGTAAATGCAATCCTTGACATTTCAATTTTTCTCTTATAATTTTTTTTCTTTCCAATTCCCGCCACAACAACTCCAGCACCATTTACAACACCTAGAACAACAGGGTTTAGTGTAATCCCGCCAGCAATAGTTCCTATTGCTACCAGGCATATTCCAGAGATTGTAAACACCTCATCAAGAAATTTGTAACTCTTATAACACCTTTTGTAACACCAGTATTTCTTGTGATAGTGACTATAAAAGTCTTTTAGGGTTTTAATGTCTGAGTATGACAGAGATTTATCTATGTGATTAAATTCAAAGATATCCTTCATTTATATTTATACTATATAAGATCCATTTAACTTTTCCTGTAAAATTATTTTTTTGAATTCTTCAGAGTCAGTGTCGTAAAAGTTTGGTGAGTACAAAATTTTTTCTAATATTCCATCTTGATTTAAAAACTCAAATTTTTGATTACTTGAGTAATATGCTAGTGGTGCAACTAATTCTGAGCTGTAGTCACTTATATTAAATTTGTAGTATTTGAATTAATACTTTCTGTTAAAAAAAAAACTACTTTTTTTCCATTAAAATTACTTGGAATAGGTATACTTCTTCTTGTATTTTTAATATTTAAGTTTAGTGTATTATTTGAATTAAGATAAAATAAATTAAATAAAAGTTGATTACTGTTATTATCTTTTTTACTTATGCTAAAATTTCTATTTCTCCAAAGAATAAAAACAAGACATAAAGTATAACTTGTTTGGCCAGTAGCAGATGAATAAGTAATAGTATAACCATTAATATTTAATCCGTCTTTTCTTATGTTGTCTATTGTTTTATTTGAAAAGGAAATATTTCTTGCAGAATTACCTGTAATAGAAGAAATTGAATTAAAACTAACATCAGATGATTGTTTATTTATCACGTAACTATCCGCATTTGTAAAATCAAAA